AGTGTACATACTTGCCGTAACAGCACTTTTAAACAAAATCAAATCCTGTGCAAACATGTCAAAACAGCAAACCTGTCCCTCAAAATGAAAACAAGTCTGCAAATTTGTTTTTGAATTGTCACCAACTGAGGATGGAGTCATTGGGGCATGCATAATTTACCGGTATATCATACTCCATATTATTTAGAAAATGCTTACTGGAATTTCCAAAACAAAAAATTCAATATATTTGTAATATGGTTCTTCAAATATTCCTGCAAGAGTTAGCATGAGTACATTTTGAACTTTAAAGAGCTACATAGAAATACTTATTTAAGTCCATGTAAACAAACACCCTTCCAGACCTGCACTCACTTAATACATACCGTTTCCTAGTAAAAAAAGAAGTGTGTGAAAATAAACCTTAAAAACCAAGACATGATGTATAAATGAACTATTTTTGAATATGTTAAACGAGTGAATTACAAATGCTTACAATCTGAAAAGCAATAAACAAAGAGTTCTGAAAATCTAGTAAACACTATCAAACTCATAAATGATATTCACTTGATCATTATAATATGTACATTTCACTGGTAGCGAGAGTCCTGCACGTTTTAAAATAATTTGCTCTACTGGTATTCATATAAGGCTGGTTTTGGGAAAAAAATAAAGTTTACACATGCAAGTATGTACCACTAAGACACTGCATTGGATTTTTCAGTGTTGTAGAGATTTTTCTCTCTTATTTACAAAAGAAAACTGCATGCACTTGTCATTGGTTCATTGCATATAAACTGAATACTGTGAAAGACTTTATTTTAACTAAAATTTATTTTCACTGAATTGATGAGTTGAATGTAAAACATAGGAAAAAAAAGGTATATTCGCTGGATTTTATTTTCACTGAATCATTCCTTCAGCAAAAATAGCGAAAATTAATTCGAAGCGAAAATAAAGTATTTCACAGTTTCTTCTAGACTACTTTATTTTAGCTGGAATAAATTTTCGCTAAAAAAACTTTTTGGGTGTTTTGTATGGAATTTATTTTCACTGATTGTTGATGAGTTGAATGTGAAATGTAGGAAAGAGGTATATTCGCTTGAATCTATTTTTACGGAAGCATCCCTTCAGCAAAAATATATTCCAAGCGGAAATAAAGTATTCTACAGTATAATCTGCAGTGAAAATAAGTAATAGTCAGTATGAATCAGTAAACAAATTTGCTGAATACATGAACACCAAGTCTTTTGAACTGAAATATGATTTGATAAATTTGGCAAAACAAAAGAAACTAACATCTTCAATTCATCAAAATTATATTTGGTCGGTAGGCGAAAAGTTTGTAAAGTGATGTACCGTAATTGACAAATCAGGAGTTGTACAATGTACGCATGTCACACATTGAAGACTAAACGCATTACTATAAAAGTATTAAACACTCCCTAAACGTCGTTGCATACATTCCATAAACCACAAGAGTCCTATGAAATGCACTTTTGAAAGAGAAATATATGAAAGTACAGTAAAGTTATAATTTCACCTTTTTTTTTCTCCAGCATATGGATCTAACAACCTTAAAGATGCAAGGTTGAATTTTTCTTTCTCTTGCCATACATGAGTAAATTGATACATGTAATTTTAAAAAAAAATGAAATTGCATAATTGCATTATGCAGTACAAATGGTAAAATCTTTAATTTAAAAGTTGTATTTCTGAATTATTGATTGAAGAATAAATCACCATTTAAAAACCTGAACAGCAGCACATATGATTAATTGTCTGGTGATATGATATGAACTTTTAGTAGTATATTTATTTACACAATATATCATATGAAATTTTAAGGCTTATTTAAAAAAAAAAAAAAAAGTCTTAACAAGCTGCTTTTAATGCACAGAAAACGATACCATGACAATTTGATGGGTAAACACATGTTATGTACAGAAATCTCATTTCAATATCATCTAAAGATAAAGGAATTTGATAATGCTGCCACTAGAGGGTGTAATGACAAGGAAAAACAATATTAATTGATAACTGGTCTCATGAGGGACGGGGTATCGTTGCTACACAATTCACTTTAATAATGTGTCAGTTTCCTTAAAAAACTTCACATGTGCAAAGGGAGGGTTCACACAACATTGGATGTTTACATAGTGATATTGGCCAGATATTTGAGATCTGAAGTTTACAGGCAAGTTATTATATGTCATGCTTTATAGTAATAAAGTTTGTTTGTTTTTTTGTGACAAAACACTATAGATAAAACAGTGAGCAAAGTTTAGAACTGTATAAGGTGTGCATGACTATAGGCAAGAACCAACCAGACAACACAATAGTAATAATAGAATATATTGTGCAGGGCTAAAGAAGAAAAATTTTTAAAGAAAACGGATGTTTTGCACAAATTTACTTCATTTACATAAACCCAAAAATGAAAAAAATTAATAAACAGTAATCTATAAAAAAAAAAAATAATACCGTATTTGCTCTATTAGTAGTGCATATGATAACATAAATCACAGAGTCGTTCTATGGTCAAAATAGTAATATTTCAACGATTATGAATACAACAATGTAATTTTTAGTTTATATGATTCTCATAGAACAAATATTTTATTTTACATTAACGATTTAAAGTATTCTGCATGCACCAAATGGTATGTTACTCTGTGGACAGTTTCTTGAGTCCTGCACTTGATATCTCACCCATTCATCAAATCAGTTTTGGGTTTGACAATAAGACAATAACTTCAACAGTAAACTGTATTTTAAAATGCAGCAAATAAAAATAAAACTCAGTATGAATATAATGTCCATGTCTGATGAATGAGTAAGGGGTGAGAGTTGGTGGGAAGATCCATTTGAAAAAAAAAACCTCAGTCTTCACTATCACTTTCACTGACAAGTACTGTTTGTAACGTATTAGCAAAGACAAAAACCTGATTTGTCAGAAATATTTCAATCTCAATAGCACAGCACACTTCATTCAAGAACCAATGAAAATTCAAATGAATACATAAAAAAAAAATTAATTACCCAAGTTTTAATTCTTTGCTGGAATTCTATGTTATAACATATCATATATAATATGACATTGAAAAAAAAATCAATAATAACCACTAAATTAAATGGGGAAGGATATTTTCTTAATTAAATAATTATTTAATACATATAATATTGAAACTATAACATGAAAATGAAATCAAATTCATGACAATGTGTTGTTAATGGTAAACTAATCAGCAGCTTATATAGAAACCTTTCAATACAAAACAAATGTGGGAGGGAGAAGGAGAGGGTTCCAACCTATTCCAATTACCACTGGAGCGCCGAGTGTCATTATTACAATGATCATTTTTGAAGCTTTGGCAGACTGGCAGCATTTCAAATATCTGGAGAGAATGAACGACAATGAAAAGAAGGAAGGAAGGAAGATGCATGTTTTCTTAAAGTTGAATGTTCAGAATCGCCTCAACATATGCTGTATATCAAGTACATGTAAGTGAACATCGTGAAGACTTATCAAAGAAAACATCAGTATCCTCCCTACAGTTGCATGCAGGGTCAGACAGGTATTAGTATTGGCTGTAAACCGATCACAATGGAATTCAGTCCATCTCTCAAGAATCACAACAGATGGAGCATGTTGAAGATCATCCATCAATTGGCATTACGAATTTTCTCACCAAGCAAGGCTTCCGGACATTATCACCATGATTTTAACACTAAAAGTTGTACAAATTGTGAGAGCAACTTTATCGATAATATACAACAGTGAATTTGAATTTACTGTGAAAGATACTTCTCCAAAACACAGACACGAGATCAAAGGTTCCTGCTATATGTTGAGTAGTAAAATCCTTCTCAGATCAGTCATACAGCTTTATTAAAGTCTTGGGAGTAATATGCAAAATTTGTGAGTTGCGGGGTAAATAACTTATAATTCACCATTACTCCAAATAACAACTGCACACAGTAATTTAAAACAGAAGCAAATCTTTGGAAATTCACACGCATTAGAAAACTATTAAAAAAAAAAACGTTTCTGAATTTCAAAAACGCAATCAAATTGAAAGGCATTTTAACATTCGTTACACAAATCCGGACAATCAAATATTTCACACGATAGTCACCTAAAATCCCAATAAATTGTTACAAATAACTATTATTATAATGCATGTGAATATTCTATTCTCAAAGCATTGATATGATAACGTGGGATAGACGAAAAAATTACATTAGGTTTTTTCCAATAATACAAAATAACGGTACGCGAATAAACAGCACAAGTATTCTATACTTGCGATAAACAATGTCTTTTTAAAAAAAAATGCATTCTTGAATGAAAATGAGTAAAAACAGGTTCAACAAACACTTGAACTTGAACATGAAAGTTTTCGTCATTTGTCTAATCACAAAAACATGTGTAGCCAAGTGTAAGTATGCAGATTTCCATCACAGGCGAAAAAAAAATATGATTTTCAAAAATAATTGAAAAATTTGAAACCTTACATGAATCTTAAGTTGCCTTTGATATGATGTAAGTTGTCACATGAAGTACGCAAGTTCAGAAAGACCTTAATCGCGTGAACGAATTTGCATACCCTTGTCCTGCCCATGCTAGTACTGAATATTAATTTAAAGTGTGGAAAATAAAACATCATGTGAGCTACAAATAATACAGTAACCCAAACCAGCCCTGGCAGCCCGATCTGCTTTTCACTGTGTCAAGACGACATGTAATCGTAGGACACTCCACAGAAAAAGCAGACTAATCTTGACAATTAACAAGATAAGTAATGGACCACAAATTTCTAAATTTTATCTTGACTTGTTAGATGAAAAAGCCCAAAGTAATTTGGCATTATCTTCTCAATCTCAATTGTCATGGCCATCATCTTCATCATTACCTCTAGTACATACTTCGTCAAATACATGAATGCCATTAATAAATGCCTGTACATGTATTACATTCACGGTAAGCCAATAACCGGCAATTATTAAACACAGTAAAAGATTCTGACAGGTAGTCGATAACTTACATATCTGTTTTGTAGCTACATTAGAGTCAATAATCTTCAAATAAAATAAAATTATTATAGGCAACTGAAAGATAAGACCATTGATTGTTTGTTATTTTTTTTTTAAATGATTGCCTTACAACAACACGACTAAATCGCATACATTGACATAATCCTGCAAGTTTCTAATATAATGTTCAGCTTATTTAGTTCGCTTAAATTAGAAACACCAATTATGGAATATGACATGCGTCGTGAGTAGAGCAAAACCAGCCAATGCTGCTAACACCAGAAATTATTGCCTTTTGAGTGCTTTTTTTTTCCATTTTTTTTTTACTTTAAATTTAATTTCAAAGCAGAATAAATAAGTGGCTAAAAAAATTGCATCATCGCTTCATTCCTTAATATTCATCTTACAAATTATGAATCTGACTAGCGTTGGCACTGCTCGCACTACTACAACCACCACCACCACTGCTCCCAAAAGTTCCAGTTGCAGCTCCACTTCCAGCGCCGCTTCCACTGGCGCTGCCCCCTCCATGCTGCAGCCTGGCTGGAATAATCCCGGAAAACCAGTTTCTGGTACGCCTCATGACAGCATTTGGTAAATTGGAAGGCTGTATTCGAGATAACTGTGATGACAGCTGAGAACCAAAATGCTTGATATAGTCAGTAAAAATGAATTAAGGAAAACAAAATAAATGTCAGATTCACTTCTTACAAAATTCTATATTATGAGGTTATTACAAAGATACTGCAAAGTATGCATGAAGACAGTACAGCAGGAGTATCAACCAACACACAGCGAAGGTTGATGCGACCACGTACTGCCTTTGTGCATACTTTGCAGTATCCTCGTAATAACCATATTATTATACATCTTTTCCTCCCAGAAACAGAATCAGCGATGTTTTTTGTGTGGAGTCCGGTCAAACCCTGGTGGCAGCCATGTTTGTTTTTATTATTAGAGGACGCTTATGTGCATAATCGTTCCATATTTGGAATTTGCGTTTCCTGATATGGTATGATGAAAATACCCAGTGCAATACCGCAAGATAACAACACACTTGTAACTTATGGCATTACGGTGAAAGATGTATAATAATACAGTTTTCAGACTGCGATCTGTGAAAAATCAAATTGCTTACAGAGCAAAACACTAATATACATGTACCTAGACATCATGTTCTTTAGAAGAAAGCAAAACTGAGGGTTACCAAGTTGGGATGCTTAATATGAACCAAGATTGCTATAAAAGAGAGTACCATATGTAAAGGATATACTAAGGACCAGGGTGGTGCGCCTCCGTTTATGTACATGACGTAACACAATCCATCTTTCGGCTGTGCATCTATCGAGTAATAATACGGCAGGTAGTTATGCCTTTTGAAGCTTCTGTGTTCATAAAACTTTAAGGCTACGTTGTTGCTGGCCAACACGTGCAGGTACACAGCCTTGACATTCGCCCTCTCACCTGAGGTCAAATAGGAGATCAAACTGTCCAGCAGGAGAGATGCTGAAATAAAAGAAACAGAACATTTTTAAGTTTATTTTGATTGTTATAATTAAGTGAAGAAATTACAAATACAATATGTATTATGCATGCCCCCCCCCCCTAACGTCATATATCCTGAAACTTTCTTGAAAAATTCACAATAAATGAGAATTTTATGATTTTTTTCAGAAAAAAAAAATAAAACAAGTTTTTTAGCACAAAAATAGCCACCATTAGGCCACTTTGAAAAGGATCGTTAAACCAATATATCAGTATATCTGTGACTTGATGTATAATGAATATTAAAAATTTGAACATAATCAGTAAAAACAAGTCAGACATATGGGTCTGGAAACCCATTCACTAAAACAAAATGGCCACCGGACAGCCATTTTGAGTCTGATCTGTAAAATAAAATGACGTGCATCAGGAACCCGTAATGTCTAATGTATGTACCAAGTTTGAATGAAATCCATCCATAAATGCCAGAAATGCTTGATATTTGATGATTTTTTAGCACAAAAATGACAACCATTCGGCCATTTTGAATAGGATCGTCAAACCACAGTCCCTCTATCACCGGTCTGGAAACGCCTATTGTTTTACGTGTGAATCGGCGGGATTAGTGGGCTAACGCTTGTAACGGCTCTCCGCGAAGCGCGGTACTATACTGTTGATAGCTTCGAGATACATCGCGGTCAGTGCTGTGATCTATTTTTTAACGTTTCCAGAACATATTCGATACCGTATACAAATATTTTTTACCATAGTTGATTCGTAACGTCTTTCTTTTTAAGGAGAGTAAGTTTCGTTGTATACAATATGTTGATGCTCGACGTTTTCTTGTGTGAAATTATGTCTTTTTCACCTTTTGTAATAGAGGGGCTGTGCCGTGACTTGTAAACTGACTCGTTTTTTCTGTTCCTCTCATTAACGGTACATTCTTGACAACATGACAACATTTGTGTTTTTGGTAGATTTGAAATACGTTTAGCACAATGGTCATGTTGAATATACGATTTTGATGATTGTTCGTTCAAAAAATGACATTTATTTTTAAGAAGTAAACGGCGTCGTTAAAAACAAAATGGCCGCTCCCAGTTACGATGTTGTACACATTTTACTTCGGTATTTTTTTTTCCTGCTTATTTTGTTTTTCAGGCATATTAATTGCAACAACTATGTATATCGGCAACACAATCGATTGAAATACTGTATAATGTCACAATATGTATGATTTTTGGGTCTTGGTTTTGCACGTCATTGTATTCACATCACATCATTCTCTCAGTCGTATAATTGTAACGCAAGTTTCTGTTCCGATTACAAGGGAATGGGGTGATCCTCCAATTCCATTTTTATTTGGTGATTGAAGAAACTACTTCTGAAACTAATGGGGTGGTTTAATTCTGTTTGGGATGTAATAAAGAGTTTAATTTCATAGACAAATTTTGTTTACGTTCA